TGGTTCGCAGAATTAGTGACGTTACTCGGTCGACTTGACACATCACCCGCTTTCCTCCACGATGTTCCGTTATCAGTTATGTCTCATTTTTCTCAACTATGACAACCTATCCTCGCTGATCATTTACTGCCTGAATACCCTCCTAGATTCCCTTGTTACCGCTGTCATTCCAGAAGTACGAAGCTTCTCCACCGCGTGGTCTATCGGTTAGTAAGCAATCCTGCACGCTCGCGATGCGCCAGCGGTGTCCGTGCTAAACTGCAATTGTGACGTTACCTTTAACAATCCTTCGGCGCACACTAGCGCCCGCCGGTGTGATACCCTAGCCTCACGATCGGTCTCGGGGAACTGATTCTTGCAATCTTGCATCTGTGCCGCACAGTTTGCGTAGACCAACTTAAATATTTATCTGCTGGGAGAAGAAAGGTGATAAGACCGCACAACCCTGTGACAAACTACGGCTTCTCGGCCGGGTTAAACAGAATCAGGTACGGTACCGGTATGAAAAGTTATTCCTGTACGATAGGTACGGTACCGGTACCAGTTTACCGTACCGGTACTTTTTTACATTCAGACATCGCAATTTCTCCAAAAAAAGTTGAGGAGGGTTGTATTTCTAATAATTATCTGATGTTAATCCTATTCTACGAAGTTACTATTAGTAAGATTTCATTTAATGATAATTTAACTTTTTTTGACAAAAAAAGATATAACATCTGAACATAGACCTACAGTCTCTACAGGGGTTCCTTTAATTACCGGAACGGACCCTAAATTGCCGGAACGCAATGAAAAACCTACATAAACTTACCGGAACGGACATTTAGATGTCTTGCAAATGTCATTTCATATACTTCCTTGCAATTTTTATATTAAATCGGCAAACTTGGGGGGGACAGTGGTAAAATTAATTTTCTTTAATTACCGGAACGAACCCTAAAAAAACCTACATAAACTTACCGGAACGGACTTGTATATATCTTGCAAAGGATATTTTATGTCCCTCCAAGCGACTTCCCATAAAATGTGAAAATTTGGGGGGATAGAATGATAGAAAATAACAATTTAACTTTGCGCCACCTAGCGGATGTAAATTGAGCAATGAATACCTGAATAATCTCTTATCAATATGAATTAATGATAAAAATCGATAATCAAAATTTTCTTACATGTTATTAGCCTTTAATTTGCCTTGTAGATAAGATAATGTGGTCATAGATTCAGATTGAAACAAATAAAAATTGTTTCCACAAACGCTCTTGTGCAGGTGTTGTAACTATGTAGCACAACATGAATATCCACCTAAACCTGTCATTATTAAAGATAATGTTGTTATTTTAGTTCGTGTTCGTGTCACCCGTAAGACTGACGTTCCGGCACTGTAATCTACCGTGATAGATTGCATATTGCTTCGTGTCCATATATTTGAGCATCAGATTTGGATGTATATAGGTAAACAAGAGAACGATATCGTATAACGATAACCTTGCTAAAATGGCTCCTTCAAAATTTACTAATATGCTATTGACTTAGCTGCAGATTGTTAATTTCACCACTATGTCTCGAAATTTATACGCAAAATATAAAACGTGCTTTCTTATATTTTTTCACCAACTTAAACGTAGGAGCTCATGCTCAAGTTCGGTCTGGCAGTGAAGGTTTTTGTATTTTACAAGAATAGAAAAAAATAGAAAAAATACAACAAAAATATGAATTGACAAAAATAGAATATTGAAAATTAACTAACGGGAAGTGGGAAAAGATTAAAAATATTCAAAAAAAGGGAAGGAACCAAATGAATGAAAGAATAAACAAAACACGAGAAATACGTAAAATTCAACTTGTTTCTTGTCTTGAGTTTCTTTACAGTTCGGGTTTTTTCGGATCGAGGTCGTTTTCTTTGATACGTTTTTTTGCCACCAGATGAATTTACTCCGATCATTAACATTCCATTCGATGACAGCAACGATTTTCGTTGATTAATTGAAAAGAAGGTAAGAAATCTTTTTAGTAAATTTAATTTTTCTTTTTTTGATTTTCCAAAATATTTGTTTGGGGCAATGAAAAAATGATTGAACTCAGTTGCCAGACGGTAATTGCCTACTCCAATAAGCGCTAGCTCCACATCTTTATATTGGGCTTTTGTGTGAGCAATCAGCCGCTTTATGAGAATATCTATGTTTGTAGATTTCCAATCAATCATGTGCTTGAGTACGTGGTTCATACTTTCCGTGTTGTTGTTAGTCCAGTGTGCGCCAAGCTGTTTGTTCTTTGTTACGCAAAAAATACCCTTCTTTATCAGCGGTAAAACCCGTCTTACCAAATAATTCCTCAATGACGGGTTTTCTGTATTGTGTAGTAGATCCGAAGTCTTTTTTACAAATTATTCTTCATTTTCAGTTGCTCGTCGACTCGTCTGATATTAATTTGTCATCATTACAAAATGTTTCGGAGTCCGATAGTATAATAGGGGAATCCGGAATTGAAATCGTATCGTATTTTTGAACTGGTCCTTCGAGGAGAGGTACAAAATGATTTGTTCTAAAATCTTTGGCTGTTGGAGGAATCGTCATTTGGGTCCACATTATTGTCGTTTTCGATTGTTGCGTGGCTCTGACGTCACGGACACAAATTTTCCTTGTGAAAGGCTGGCTTAGGAAAACGTTGGCGCTGGTTTGAGGGTAATAAGATTGAATCGGAGCTTTGATAACTGAACTCAAGCCATACATGTGCATCATTTCTGAAAAACATCCATTCGTTCGAGCTGAATGTATCAAATCCGAGTATTTTGATGTCACAACCCGATCATCGTCAATCGGGTTTTTGAAAGCAGAAATCAGTAGGAGCACTTTGAACCCTCCTCGCTATAAAGGCTATAGCGACAATAGTTTTCAAGTCGTGGTCAACTCTCGCATTTTCCTATGCTGAAATTTTAAATTCAAGTATTTTGTCAAATATGTTAACGTTATTGATATATTAAAACATTTATGAAAGGTTTTATATATTTACCGATATATATATATATATCACATATATATCATATTTACATATATATCACAAATATTCCATATTTGATGAAATCCAACGACATCCCCACTTTCATCATAATTTAAGGTCACGTACTTCAACCAGTTCCAATATAAAATGTTTAGCTACATAGTTACAATGCCTGCGCAAAAACGCAAGAAAGGTTGTAGAAACAAAAAATATAACCAATAGTCATTAGCATATTGGTAAATTTTGAAGGAGTCATTTTAGAGGATCAGATTTGTATGTATGTAGGTAAACAATTTTTATTTGTTTCGATCTGAATCTATGACTACGTTATCCTATCTACAAGGAAAATTAAAGGCTAATAACATGTAAGAAAGTTTTGATTATCGATTATCATTAATTCATATTGATAAGAGATGATTCAGGAATTCATTGCTCAATTTACATCCGCTAGGCGGCGCAAAATGAAATTGGTATTTTCTACCATTTATCCCCCCCAAATTTTCGCATTATACTTGAGAAATCGCTTAGAGGAACATAAAATATCCTTTGCAAGATATATACAAGTCCGTTTCGGTAAGTTTATGTAGGTTTTTCACTGCGTTCCGGCAATTTAAGGTCCGTTCCGGTAATTAAAGAAAATTATTTTTACCACTGACCCCCTCCTCCCCTCCCAAGTTTGCCGATTTAATATAAAAATTGCAAGGAAGTATATGAACGGACATTTGCAAGACATCTAAAGGTCCGTTCCGGTAGGTTTATGTATGTTTTCCACCCCGTTCCGGTAATTTAGGGTCCGTTCCGGTAATTAAAGGAACCGTCTCTACAGGCCTAAAATTGTAGAACAGAAAATAAATTTTAAAATTTGGATTAAATTTTAAAATTTGCTAACGACTGAATGAGTAAACAAAAGAATAAATGTTGAGAACAGCTTGCTGCCTTGACTCTTTGGGCACAATTTCAGGGTATGGTATAGTTTAGTACCACATGTACCTCTAGTTGACCTGGCTCAACAATTTTTGCATATGTCTGTATGTTAATCCCATCCCCCACCTGACTACGTCACGGAAAAATTACGTCATTTCGACGTCACAGTGGCATATTACAGTAATAAGGCCCACCGAAGTAGTCTATGCGGATGGTCGTCCAAAACGCTCAGACGATCACCCGAAAAGCAAGCAATTTTTCTCGTTTTCTTGTCACAACGATCATTATAGGAGAGAGATCGCCGGCTTTAGCAAGTTTGGCGCAGATGCCTTTTTGGGCGATCGTAATTATACTTTGGCAATCCCTATGACGTGATGGAGGGGTCTAGTATAGTTTAGTACCACAAGTACTTTCATTGGGCGTAGCATAACGAATTTTGCATATTTTATTCCTAACCCCCACCTGACTATGCCATTCAAAAATTACGTCACTACGACGTCACCATCACGTCATAGGGCTCGCCAAATTATAATTATGATCGCCCGAAATGGCATCTGCGCCTCCGATAACGAACTCGCTAAAGCCGGCGATCTCTCTCCTATCGTGATCGTTGTGACAAGAAAACGAGAGAAATAGCTTGCTCGATTTAGGGTGATCGTCTGCGCGATTTGGACGACTATCCGCATACTTTGGTGGGCCTTATTACGCCACTGTGACGTCGAGATGACGTAATTTTTCGGTGACGTAGTCAGGTACGGGTTAGGATTGACATTTGCAAAAATTGTTGAGCCAGGCTAACTAGAAGTGCATGTGGTACTAAACTATACCAGACCCTGATAGAGACGTTGTAGTGACATAATTTTTGGATGGCATAGTCAGGTGAGGGTTAGGAATAACATATGCAATATTCGTAATGCTACGCCCACTGGAAGTACTTGTGATACTAAACTATACTAGACCCCAATTTCATTCCAGTGTTTATGCTGATTTAATTCTGTCTTTACAGCTTAAAAAAAACTGTATTATTATTGTATCTTCAGCTTTTTGCATGCTTGAGTCAGTAAGTGTATGTTTGCACCGTGTAAAATTACAAAATGAGTTTGGAAAGATTGTTCCAGCAGATAATACAGTCTGAACAAACAGCTGAAAACCGGAAAGAAAGTATTGTAAGAATTAAAAAGCAGATTTCAGACTGTCAATCTGATCTTAAATCCCTGAAAGAGTCTTGTGTATCATCGAAGGGCAGGCTGCATGTCTTTATTCGACAATATCATGAGGAAGACGCAGAATGTAGAGTTTTGCTCGAGCAAAAAAAGGTTTTGCAGGAGAGAAAAATAGAAATCGTAAAAGAGATTGATCAATTGAAATTTGTTGTAGCAGAAAAGGAAAATATCTTGGAAAAATTAAAATCTGATTTTTCAAAAAATGTTTTTGAGTTTTGTGCTCAATATGATCTTACTGGTCTCGGAGCTCAAAAACGCAAAGAAGAGAAAAGTTCTGAGCTTGAGAAAATTGAGAGTGAAATTAAACTGGCTGAAACAAGATTACAAGAATTGAAATTAGAAGAGGAAGAAGCAACAGAATTGATGGAACAAAAAGCTTGTTTTCAGGCAGAAATATCTCAACTTCAATCTGAAATTATAGAAGTTGATTCAAGTTTAGAAAAGAAACGTCAAGAGACCTTGAATACAATTGAAAAAGTAATTCAAATTTTTTCTTCTTTTTTGAGTATATGTGGTCATTCTGTTAGATAAATCATTCTTAATGTCTTAAGGTAAGTTGTATTATTGGTTAATGGAACTTAATTATTGTTACTTATCGATTTTAATCGGTGAGTATGTTGATAGGTATTTGTCTGTCTGTCTGTTAGATTCACGCGATATCTCACGAAAGCGAGATTGAATCTGCTCCAGATTTTGCATGTGCATTCATCATATCTCGGACCAGAAGCCTATTGATTTTGGGCGAATTATGTCATATAATTAGCAAGTAATTAATTAAATAGTGATGGGACACAAGGTGTCACTATGGAGAAAGAGCGCTGTTTTGGGGGATCCCCTAACTTTCGTTTATTAAGTCTCGGTCTCTGACCGATATTCTCGGTTTTTTTTCATCCCTTTTTTTTTTAAATATGATACTGTTACCAAAAACATTGGACCACCAATCGAGTTTAAAATTTCATAGTAATTAGTGGAAAACACAAAACCGCAAATTTTTTCAGCAATCTTAGTGCTTTCAGGACCTACAATATTAGTATGACTTTCGTTTCTTCATATAGTTTTATGTCAAAGGCAGAAACTTGAATTTTTTCTTTTCTAGGTGAATAAGTTCAGGTCAGAAAATCACAACGATCCTGAGTTAATTCAGCTTCAAAAAGAATTAGATTCGATTAAAAACCAAGAATTAGAAGGAAAGATAAGGAATTTAAAAGCTGAATTAAACAGAGTAAAGCGAAGGCAATGGCAAGATAGCTTACGAAACCAGGGTTCATACCAAAATAACAGACCTTCAGCTGGTGGATACAAGTTCCGTACTGTCAACCATGAGTAGATTGTTATTAATCTACCCTTGTGAGCCGATATTTCATGAATTTGATATAGAAGAACAGCATTTCTCTGATAAGGAATTTAGAATTTCCTATTTATCCCTACAACAAAGTGAAAGACAATAAACTGGTGGACTATATCAAAAACCATATATGCTGGTTTACCTATTAAACATTTTAATTGTTTTGTATTGTTGCCAATCAACTGTTTTTGTCAATAAGAGGATGGTCTTTTGTTTTCATCTGGATGTGTATTGTTCAATTCTTATTTGAAAAAGTAGCTCAGAGATAGTAGAGTCTGTAGAAGTGTAGAGTAGTTAAAAACCATTGTGGTTTGCTATTTACTGTTGCTTAAACCGTGCTATTAAATAGTGTTAGCTGAAAAAAATTTCAACATTAGTGGGATAGTCTTATTTGGATGTGTGTTGTTCAATTTATATTTGAAAAAAATAACTCTTGAGGTAGTGGTGTATTTTCAAATTTTTCAAATTGTAGATTATATTTACTAAACGTTCCTTCTCTCAACATGGACCCAGTCGTAGGCCATCTTAATTAATACTATCCTGTTTTTAGATCATTGATATCAAATTAAATTTTTAGCAGAGTAATACTAGTACCGTAATACTGATCTGATAGTTACCGTACAGTACGGCACACTATACAAATTGGGTGAAATTGTCCAGTTTTAGAGAAACCCATTTTACAGAGGATCAGACACCCCTCTTTTGGGAGACGTCTGGACATTGTTGTCCCTCAACATCAGTAATAATACAGTATAATGAAGTTGCGCAAATTCCTACAAAAAAGCGCAATCTAGTAACGTCATCACTGAATTCCTTGGGAAAAAAATAATCCGATTTACTGACGGAAATAGAATTCTACCGTAGCATTCGAGAATTTTTAGCAAAAATCGGCAATTTTGGTCATGTGACTGCCGCGATTAACTTGGATTATTATTGAGACAAGCATGGTGTTATATGACGCATCTGACGTGGTCCCAGACGCCCCTCGTTTGTGAGACACATAGAGTGTTTGTTTTATTGAGTTAAATGGAGGAAAATTCTTGGAATTTGGATAGTGTGCTGTACTGCCGTATGTGAATTCCTTAAAGTAATTTACTTTGAATTGTATTCCTCTGGGAATTCATTTAATAGCAGTCATTTGAACGCATTGTCATATTTACAAACTCGAGTTATTTTGAATTACCGGTACTCAAATTCAGACTTACTTGGCGATAATTGAAAAAATGAAAACTCTTCAAACACTGAAAAATCGAATTGACTAAGCATTTTTAACGGTTTATTAAATAATACTTGGTTTCCACAAAAAGTTTCATTATCCAAATTTGATTTCCACAGCTTGAGTCAGAGTCTAAATATCCATCAACCATGAGTCAGAAAAGATTATATATTTACCCTGACCCTGATTATTGCCTCTTCATTTCTATTATTATTTCATCGATGAACACTTTATTTTCAGGTGACTTATTAAATAAGTTTTAGACCTGTATAGGGTGTGTTTTGTAAATAGTGTACAATGGAGTGTAATTGTGTAGCGTATATAGGACTTGCAAGTCTAACCTATCTCAGTCTTCGTCTCTTATGGGATATATACTCTGGTGTCAAACTTTACTTTCTGAGCAATTATCCGGATTTTCGTCAGTATGGAGAATGGTCAGTTGTCACTGGAGCTACTGATGGTATTGGAAAAGCAACTGCGAGGTATTGCGTTATTTCTTGTGATTCGTTCTCTTTGGAACTGCAATTTATTTAGAATTTACAAAATATTTATTACAGACTTTTCTACCTTATTAGCTGAATGTCAACATTTTCCATGAATTGGTTTGCAATAAGTGCATGTTGGAATATTATAAGATAGATAGAATTATTTGCAATAATCCGAGGAATAGGAAAGCCAATAAGATGGCTTGATTATATGGCGAAACATGGCCTCTTGTTCGGTTACCAGTTCATGTTGGGTATGGGATTAGTTTACCAGTTATATGTTCCAGATGCATGAGCTTGGTAGTGAAGTCGTATCAGACCAGCGGCTACATAAAACACCATATAACGGCAATGAATCCAGTATTCCTCCTGTGTATGCCGTTAATGTTAAGTTCAAGTCGTCAGAAAAATATGAATTTCATGAAATCAAGATGTATTATAACATAATTAATGAGCATAATTAAGTCAGTTCAAGATTTTGTTTTGCATGCAACGGCAGATACTTTCTACATCATTATTAAAAGGAATATCATACAACAACAATTTAGTGAAGCAATCCATTTCAACAATCATATTTTCTATACTCTTGCATGTCTTTTTGTCTCCATTGCAGGGTACTAGCTCAGCGAGGACAAAAAATAGTTCTTATTAGCAGAAACCTGGCAAAACTTCAATCAACAGCAAAAGAAATAGAAAACGATTTTAACGTTGAAACAAAAATAGTTCGTGTCGATTTCACTCACGATGAGTCGATCTACGAGGAAATCTCGTCAGAAATTAAAGATTTAGATATTGGCGTCCTTGTCAACAACATGGGGATTTCTTACGAACACCCTGAATACTTTCTTCAATTACCCGATCTCTCCGCTACTATCATGAGAATGATCAGAGGCAACATCATGTCAGTGGTGAAAATGACTGAAATTGTGCTCCCAGGTATATTATTGCCTTGAATTTTAATTCTTTACTTGAACTTTCTGTTGTAGTTTTACACTAATATTATTCAATCTTACTTCAGGAAAAATATTTTTTTTTATTGTAAAACTCTTTAACTTTTTAAAATCGACTTTTGACTCTTTTAGTTGAATGGCTCATTGAATTAGTTTTAGTATTTTATAACCATTGGGAGTCTGCAATTTCGACTCAAATTTAGAATTTTGATCCCCGACTCTGGTGAATTTGAAAATACAACAACAAATCCGACTTCAGTGAGAACATGCAGCTCAGCTCCAACTTTGCAATTCTTATTTTATCTCATCGTTTTCCAGGCATGGCAGACAGAAAGAGAGGGATCATTCTCAACATAACATCAGCTGCAGCACTGAAACCAACACCTATGCTTGCTCTCTACTCTGCTTCAAAAGATTTCGTCAACCATTTTTCAAAATCTATCGCCTATGAATACGAAGACCAAGGAATAAAGATCCAAAGTGTTATGCCATTCTACGTTACTACAAAATTGTCCAAAATCAGAGCATCGAGTCTTCTTGTGCCGACTCCTGAAGTTTATGCGAAGAGTATGTTACGGGGTGCTGGAGTGACCAAGTAAGTTGTTTAATAATGGACGCTGTGATTTTATTGAATCGTATTGACTTGAACGACTTCGAGTCTCACATCAGTCTGTTTTTACTGACACAAATTTTATAGTCCCAGTAGCTCTTGTTATTACTTATCGATCTTGAGATTGGTAAGTATGTTGATAGGTATTCGTTTGTCTGTGTGTTAGATGCACGCGATATCTCACGAAAGCGAGGTTGAATGTGCTCCAAATTTTGCATGTGCATTCATCATAGCTCGGATCAGAAGCCTATTGATTTTGGATGGATTATTTCTTATAATTAGCGAGGTATTAATAAATTAGTGATGGGACACACGGTGTCACTATGGAGTAAGACCACTGTTTTGGGGGAATCCCCTAACCTTCAATCGATAAGTCTTCGGTTTCTAACCGATATTCTAGTTTTAGTTGTTGTCCGTAACTACACCATATTCCAACATTCCGTGGTTGCCCATGTTGCATTTCTGTTGTTGTCTGTAAGCTTACTCATTGATGGGTCTTCTTTACTTCTAAGTGACTGAGTGTGGCTTATCTTGAATCTATTTCTTTTAAAAACAATATCAGTTGCTGTGTCCAATTTGTGCAAATTAGCTTTGTCAGATTAAATCTAAATTTAATCCCGTCATTCAAAAAGAATTTTCTTAAGGATTGAAATACTTTAAGAGTGTTGGCACTTCCCCAATTTGAAAGAATGATATGATTTTTGGGTTATTTGCTGAATCTGAAATTCGTCAAAATCACTAACATATGTCAATTGGAAATTGTAATTGAATGTCCTTAGTCCTTAGTTTGCCTACAGAATTGTAGGCAATAGAACTTTATTTTTTATGATGCGAAAACCCATTGTTTGAAGTTTAGGGAAAATCAGTATCAGAAGCTCCAGAACCTTGTAGAATTCAGGAATAGGTGGGATTATTTCACGCAGTGGCATCTGTAGTAGAATAATAGAACCCAAAAATAGTTTGATATAACGAAATAAACTTAATCAATTTTCTGAAATGTTAAATAGTTTGATGATTTCCCTATTTGCTCTCCTTTCCCACTGGGTTAAAATGAAAATCCTCTTCTATCTTTCTTGTTGAATTCTGTCTTGTTATCGCTGTTAACTCATGGTACTTTTTGCAATCCTTATTTTTAGATTCACTCATGGCTACTGGGCACATGGACTTGAAGGCTGGATAGTTCGTTTGCTTCCTAATTGGGTCTATGCCTACATCATGCTGCAGAAAGGGGAGGCGATCAGACAGAAAGCGTACAAGAAGAAAGAATGGCAGAAGAAGAATAACAGCGGAGAAGTAAAGAAAGAACAATAACTTTAAATTCATTTGTTATAATTTCAAGATGATTTGATTTTTAGATTTATGTGAGATGATACTTCAATTGAGCAATTACGTTTAGTAAAATAAAACATTGTAATCTGAAATTATACAACTTTGATGCCATGCTTTAAGAAAAAACCAATCTAAGAAAACTACCAATCTAGGAGTATGGCAGAACATAAGTGGGTACTCCCGTATTATGTGAACCAAGATGGCAGACACCGGAATGTAGTATGTGTACCAGGTTAGAGTTGGGCCATAATTTCAGGTACAAATACTACGGAAGTCACTTTGCTAGTCCCCGAACTCATAATAGAACTGAAATAAGGAAAATTGGAGTAAAATTTTGGCCTAACCTGGTACACATACTATGTTCCAGTGTCCACCATCTTCAATTATTTCGGGAGCGCCAATAAGTGTACTGTTTAAAGGCTTACTAATGTAATAATAAGTGATTCAGTTTTCGAAACAGTTAACTATATTGAATATCATCATTTTTGAATACCCGCTTGACTTTAGATTAATTGTAAAGTTTTGATTATTGCTTCAATACAATAAATAAACCTAGATTTTAATTTATGAAAAGTTAACTTGCCTTATATCGCAGTATCCAGATGAATGGTTGGGTAATACTTTATTCTGATGAATAAATATATAATATTATTTTATGAAAAGCAATTTGCGCATTTGTGTTTTATAATTGGTTTGTTACAGGTACTGATTGGAAATTGTCAATATAAACCATATCAATGCTATTCATGAATGTTTTCCATAGTTCCGTAGCTTGCTAATTACTTATTCAAATGTTGATGCAACATAGTGTTGAAAAAGTTGTCATGGTGATTAATTTTTGGGGTTGGTATTGCTTGAATCCTTAATTTTATCCTTCATACTTTAGCCTTTTATATATTCCTATGTCATGTTCCTTTTAAATAATGCTTTATACAGGATGCTACTAAGATTTGCATAGCGGGCTTTTCTAAAAAGATGTTAGTGGATGATAGTTGGATAGTTGTTCCTTCCTTCATGTGTATTTATTGAATGAGAAATCTGAATTTTACCAGAATGCTGTGTAGGTTTTCAGATGAGAGTTCTTAATTCATGCATTCAGAGTTTTTCAATGCAGTATTTCTTGACCTTATCTTATAGGGGTTAAATTTTTCATCTCCACATACTGCAGTTGCGGAGTATAGTAAAATCTAAATTGAAGGAAATTCAGCTTAAATATTTCACGTTATTTTTTGAATCACCAATTTTTGGTTATGAGTAGGTGTTTGTAATTTTATTTTGTGCATCCTTATTCATAAAATGAAGTTTTATGCTTGATTTTTATTTTATATTGCTCTATTAATCTTCATGCTATAAATCTATATTAATTATACTTATTGGTTAATGTTCTGAACTAAAAACAGGGTGACCCCAAGAAACAGAACCAAAACATTCCTCAATAATTTCTATGAAAGGGAAGTAAATTTGACACTTAAACTTCTGTCTGTGTGTGATGGTAACCAACAGTTTTAATCTAGGACTCTTTGCACAGAAGTTATGTTCTCTCTAAAAAAACGATTCTCCACCGGGGGCCATTGCCCCCAACAGGGGCCACAGATCAATTGGAGAGGGGCCACAATGCTAGGCGCAAAACTGATTTTACATTTCCTTTTACAAGAAAACTTCTAAGTTAGTTACGGTACTTAATAAGGGTATTTCACAGGGTGTTTTCACTATTTTGTGCATAAATTGTTTGAACATAAAGGGATTCGGAATCAACCAATTAAAATAATGCTATGAGTACCACTTGACTGATAAACGGAGGGGCCATGAGTGCTAATAAAAGCCTCCGAAAGGGAGCCATGAGCAATAAAAGGTTGAGAAACACTGCTCTAGGATATGTTAAAATTGACGTGGGTTCTGTCTTTTGCGGTCATTTTAATGGCGTTGGATTGTTGATAAATTCTATGCTTAATGTTTTGATGGATGTCTTCTAAATTTGCTGCTCAGTTTCTTAATCAACATGTGAAGCAGATCTTTCCTATGCTTAATACTTGGTACTTGTTCTATTTAGCTTCAGCCTTTGTTAATTTGAAAATGAATTCAATAAATATTGACAATATGTCTATACTGGCCATTTCTTTATTTTATACTTTCTCGAAAAGTAAGTAGATGTTAACAGTTTAGAGCGTCGGAAATATGTCTATATTATATACCCTATGTCATTTTTGGTTTTCTTCTCTCTAGGAAGATATATTAGATCTAAGTGAAATTGGACATTTTGAGGACCGAAAGGCCACGTGTGGAAATCGCCACAAGAAGTTGGTCGGTCCTTTATTTAAAAAGACATGTAGTAACATGTATGTCGTCCAACTTTTCTTTTCCCATTAGATTTAAATCCCGGACCCCTCTGGTGAGATAGTTTCAGCGAGTCCTTCTGGTCGTGGAGAACACATTCTTTTGACATCAAGGCATTCCGAAAATCCTACTCCGGATTGACAAAAACATTGAATATGGCAATTGGCAAAACTATCTGATAGACTGGTTTTTTCCACAAAATGATGCTCGGCAGTGTGGCGCATCGCGCTAAGCGTTGAAATAAACTTGCCAAATATGTGCGATATTATTGCTGAACTTCTATATGGACACATAACGCATTTATATAGACACAATAACACATATAGTTGCATTTTAAAAAAACGATCACATAATAGTTTTCCACTTCTTATGGATTGACAGTTTACAATTTTAGTTGCAATAGTCTTTTCACAGTTTATGATATTTTTTATCATATATAGAAATTGGCAAAATTGAGGCCTTTCGTTACGCAGTTTACATTTGTATATAAAATATCTGGCGCATAATAAAACACAGTTTATACCCTGGTTTGCCCTACCCCCAATAACATTTCTCTATGTGTCAAATCAAGGTTTAATCTATACTCAACGGTTAGCCAAGCGTTATCTATTTCCCAAAATTGCTGCACAAATTTAGAGAAATAAAATAAATGTGACACAGTTTCAACGTGCATATTACAAAATGTACATTTTGGACTTTGTGTTTTATGTATTCTATATTGCAGGTCATTAGTGGGCACTGCTTGCAAAGCAAATTTGACATGGAATGAACGAAGTCTGGATTCAATAGAGCAATAAAAAACTTTTTCATACAATGGCGACCAATTATCTAAGTTCCTGCACAATTCTTTTGACCATTTTTCTATTTTCTCAGTTGACGGCAAAATTATTTCATTACAAAGCGTATCATAAATATATCGAGAGGTTTTAGCAATGCTTTAATTATCTTCGATCAGACTAAGATGTGGATTGACTTGTGAGGTTTTTGATTAATTAGTTTTCCATTCCTGGGTATTCATGATATAATATTTAAATACACTAGCATGTCATCAGAAAACCAATAATGATGAAAAACATACGGAAACATTGCAATTTGCTAATTAGAATCACAAATATTTTCAACGAGACAAATATTTTTACTGTTCCAATCATCCATATATAAAATCAATCAATCAATTTTATTTTATGTGGTCACTCTGAAAGAAATAAAACAATAACAAACGGACGAACAAAATGCAGAGGACCTGGAGGACGGGCATAACTTAATAAAAAAGTTTAAAACGTTCAAGTACGTGCCCATCCATCAAAAACAGTCAAAAGAACACAATAGAATGAAGACACGAATCGGGCAATACCTTTTAAATCAATTTTAAAATGTGAGACAATGATCAAAAAAAGATCATGACATTACTTTATACAAACTCGAATTCAAAACAGAACAAAATAAATTGTGGCTGCGGTTCATATGTGATGATATATAGTGTGTACAGAAAATATTGATTGTTCAGTGAAATTTCTTACATAACAAACGTAAATCGCGAAAAAATGAACCATGTATGTGAGAAAGTGGCATGCATAGACTTGCTAAAGCAGACAGAATCGTTACAACAGACTTGTACAATTAGAACCGTCTGCACTCCCGAAGGGGACCTCCTGAAGTATGCGCACCAAGATGGCGCACAGCCCGAACTTGGTTGTGTACCAGGTTAGGGTTCAGGTTGTGCGACATCTTGGTGCGCATACTTCAGGAGTACTCCCGAAGGTAATAGGCATTCAACTTCATGTTTGCAAAAATGTACCGGTAGTGCTTGAGGGCTTGCTAATTGTATTCTTGTGTGGCTGTTTTTGAGAATGATATATAAAAGAATAACCTCCAATCAAACGCTATGCTGTAAAGTGTAACTGAAAGAAATACGATCAAAAGAACATTTCTAGAATTAACAGGATGGAATGCGTGGCTATGGTATGTGTTTTACACAACTTTTCTTTTTCTACAAAATATGGAATAAAAAACGCTCAGTGACGTAAAATGGTGATGCTGTAGTTCAATTTCAATGCAAAAATAACGCAGTGACAAAAAATTGTTACTTTCAAAGAAAAAGCTCGGTAAATAGATTGAGTATTCTATTTACAGTCTCATAACAGTCTATGTACAATCATGGATTGAGGCATCGGGTTCTTTTGTCGTTTTCGATTAGTTCAATTTAAAATCATTGTATCCGTTCCCATGCTTCCAACATTAATATCAAAATTAATATCGAATTTCCACGAACGACCCCCATTCCAACAAGTGCAGTGGTCCCGTCTTTTCTGTGCTCAGTTTCATCATCCACAAGTAGATTCATAAAAGGATCGAAATTTCGCAAAACTCCCGTGACAGATCGTCCATCATTCAACTTTGAATCCAATCTTTTATCAATAAACTTCTTTTTTTCCGGTGGGTGGGCTTTGCTCATGTTGATATCAGTAATCAGTAATCAGTAATTTATTTTATCACCAAGAAATACACACTGTACATACAGAACGAGATAAGAAAAGAGAGGAAAATAATGCATTTCAGGGTGAAAGGGGACGCGATAAACCAGCATTGGTTATCGAGCAACGACACCTATGAATAGTCTAACATTGGGTTATACGAGAACAAAAATCGAACTAAATACAGTACTAAAGTGAGGAGTCGGACGCCAAAATACTAACATTGGCAGAAATATGTTTAAAAAAAACCGGATATTTCCGGACTCACTAAGCAAACGACTCCGAACGCCGACTGGCAGATAACCATGACAACCACGGCACAAATACGGTAACGTCTAAGTGACTGGAGCACCATATTGCAAGCTGAGTTGGACGGTACCGGCACTGTGCTGATGCATGGTTCATAAAGGCTGGGGACGAATTTGTACACGTGGATAATATGAAGAGAGAAAAAAGAATAAAATGTATCTACAGGTTTGGGCAACGGATTAAAAGATCACTAAACCAGGTAATTGCATTGCGCGATATTACGCGATACAAAGCCAAAAGTTTTTTTTGGCAAGATATATTTTTTATTAAACCCCAGAGGTTCATGTGAATGACTTACATCCCTAATAAGCTTTGATTTGAAAATAAACCAATAGTACAGACTATCTCTCAAACATCTTGAATTAATATACTTGATATACACTTCATGCGGATATACATTTCATAAAATAAAGCAATACAATACAAATAATACAAATTTAAGAAAAACTTTTCTATGGATTTCCGTGAGACATCAATTTCGTCATTTATCAAAAATTTGCCCGTCTCAATTTTTGACCAATGAAAAATGATTACACATCAAGCATATTGACCCCCCCCCTTACAGATCGATCAATCTCTTACATTTTATTCTCTCCCATTTTGAACTCCATAAAAATTCACGGCATAGCTTATATTATTTACTTCCAATATAAAACTATTGAACAGTATTACTGGTAAGATAGAATTAATGCCCTAATTTTTAAAACAACTAGGGTTCCACTGATTCACTGAAGTGCTCGGTAATGCATAGGAAAAATTTGCCATAGGAAGTTTTGTCGAACGAATACGAACATATATCATATATGGTGAGAGACCTTGCTTCAAACCTTTTTTAACTTGAAACATTCTTGAACTATAATTAATATTAACAGCAGTGCTTTGACTTCAAAAATATAAAGTTTCGACCCATTTAATAAACATTTGACTAAAATTAAAATAATTCAACACTTAAAAAAGATAATTCCGTGAAACGAAATCATAAGTTTTTCCAATATCTAAGTTCAGTGCCATTCCTGGAAAACCTTTATATTTTAATAAATCTCTGATAATAAAAAATAACCTTACATTTTCGCCAATATATCTTCCCTTAAGAAATCCTTTTTGATCATGGTGAATCAATTTTTGTTTTACATTTTTCAGTCTATTAGCTTATCCTATACCTTTGGATGCAATTTTTTATGCAATAATTCCAATTATACTCGATTTATCATTCTCTCAGGAAAGTTGTGAAATAGGTATCCAGGGGCAGCAAAAATATGAGACTATGATTTCATACCCATGGTTCCTGCTGTTGATATTGCATTATTTGTACTATTTCGTTTTGTCTATTTCTGGCAACACTGCCTGTTGACATATTTCATTGTTATTGTTTTACGCTTCATTTATTTTGTATCTGCTTGTTCTTGCTTCTGATGATTGCAGCGTGAGTGCTATGCAAGCTAATATATATCTATTCTGATCGTGTAATATAAGGTTGTATTATATGATAATAGTCAGTTTAACGTCATCTTCCATTGTGAATGTAATACAGTCACAGATAGTTCAGAGAAGTAGTCGGCAAACGCGAGGCCCAAATATTAAAATAGAAAAAGTTTCAAGGCCCAACAACCATCACATCACGTTGGTGACAATTTAGCTAGTCTCGGCCAAGATTTCGTTAGAAATTTTAAATTTAACCTCCTAATGAACGGACATTCCAACTGCCATAAACACAAACTAAGCCAGGAATAATCTTTATTGTACGAAAAATAGTTTCAATGCCTGTACTATAGTTGAAATGAACTTATGTTCAAATCTCCTTCGCTCTAGTAAGCGCAATTGCGCAATTTCAGACGTTTTGCAATGCTGTGTGTAAACCATGAGGTCCGGAATGTTTGTTATGGTCTTGTTTGGAAGAAACTGGGCTCGATTGCTCGTCTGGACCAGGATTTATATATATATATGGACAAAAAC